CACACGGAGACGTAACAATACGCTTAATTTTTCAGCTACAGGCACATTGTTAAGTGACAACACCTTGTTACTATGGTAGCAGGTGCTGCTGACTAGTTTCCTTTTTCGTAGTTAGTAGTTAAAAAATTGATACACTTGTAGCCGAACTCTAGGGTTCTCTGACCTGGGCGCTTAGTCCATGTATTGCACAAGACTCTGTTCAGGTTAAAAATTTTAATTCCTTAATTTAGTATTAGTTGATAGAACATATTTCAGACAAATGTCTAGAAAAAATACTGTTGCGTCATCGAGATCACGTGACAATTCTCACGCTCTATTGTTTCTAGAACTATCCCGTATCTTGGCGAATGGTCTAGTATTTGCTAGATAGATAGGGTAGGCTGGTATATAAAAGAGGGGAATGTAAGGTGGGTAGATAGACAGTGAGTAATTGAACTGCATTCACAGCGTATTGTTGAAGTTAACGTTCGTTCGTTACAGTGTTGTTTTAGCGCGAGTATTGAGATTAAGTGTATCGGTAAAGTTGTATTCGGAAATAATAAACCAGTTTTATTAAGTAAAGACTTGTGTCGTTAAAGTTTCGTTGGAACGAAGTTACGGAAAAATCAATTAACAAACGGAGACGTAACAATACATATACATGGCTATCTTGATATCTTATACAATATACGTGTTTACTAAAGTAACCATAAAACAACTACAAAAACATGAAATAAAATGACCAATTTAAAGATTTGGAAAGATTAATATAAAATTATCCCGACGTACTTTGTAATTTTTGCAATTAAATAAGGAAATAAGTTCAGTTTTTATAAAATAAAAATAAATAAAAAACAGATAATTTCATTCTGTTATTATTGAAACCAACATAATACAGTTTTCTAATTAGAATTAATCCTATGGTGTGAATTGATTACTTTATGCTGACCATATATAAATATGCACCATATCAAGTCATCAATTGTATGAAATCCGAATTATTAAACAACAGACAGCGTTAAAATATAGAGTTCGATTTCCCGCCGTGTACACACCAAAGAGTTGAATGTGGCTTTGGCCGAAAACAACAACAACAACAACAAACGGACAAAATTTAAAATATTACAGCAAATGTATTACATTTCAAAACAGCAGAACTACGCTTTTTGAAAAAGAGCACAATAATCACTGTCGGACATCAAGTTAAATAATTATTTCAAAGTTCTTATTCTAATAATATTCTAAGTAAATTGAGAAGAATTCATGATCGATTTGAGAGCTTTGGAAGTCACTAGTTCTATGTAATGATAATGAATTTTGAAATTAAAGAGCACAGTTATAATGAATACGAAAAAAAAAACAGGATATTAATGGAGTAAAACTAAATGTTTTTATATATAAGCAGAGCGAAGAGCTGAATAGTTGCTTTATTTTTTTATGCATTTTCTTATTGTGTTTTGTCTAAGCGTTGTCTAGTTGTATATAAGCATCTCTGTTTTTTATTGTACATTCATTATCTTTCTGGAATGTAGTTAGCATCAACTGATAATATAGCTATTAGTTTTTGGTAGCAACTTCTTAGGGACAATTGAAAGATTTTTTCATTCAAGAAACCTGTAAATAATTCAACTGTTCAGGAGCTAAGATTGCGTTACTTTACCCATAACTGATGCAGGTTTTTCTGAAATACTGCAAAGCTTCTAAATTTAACATGACAGCATAATTTG